AAAGACTGTAAATCCTAGCCGTAAAGATTGGAGTTTGCGCTTAGATGATGCTTTGTGGGCCTACCGCACTGCATACAAAACTCCTATTGGAATGTCACCTTACAGGTTAGTTTTTGGTAAGATTCATTTACCAGTTGAAACTGAACATGGTGTTTTTTGGGCAGTTAAACAATACAACCTGAATGCTGATAGTGCTGGTGTAGAAAGGAAGTTACAGCTTCAAGAATTGGAGGAAATTTGTTTAGAGGCATATGATAATGCCCGAATTTACAAAGAGAGATCAAAACTCATTCATGACCAGTTCTTGCGAAAGAAAGAGTTTGTAGTTGGCCAAAAGGTTCTCCTCTTTGCTTCAAAGCTAAAGATGATGCCAGGTAAGTTAAAGTCCAGGTGGAATCCATATATGGTTGTAAGAGTTTCTCCTCATGGTGTTATTGAAATTAAAGGTTTAGAGTCTAATAAAGTTTTAAAAGTAAATGGTCATAGGCCAAAACCTTTTCTTTCTAATTCGGAAGTTGTTAATGTGGAAGAAGTTAACTTACTTCCTCCCATTTATGAGTAACTAGAGCAAACACCATGTCTAGCCGAAGAAATTAAAGAGTGGCGCTTATTGGGAGGCAACCCAATGCTTTTTATTTTATTTTATTTTTCATTTTTTTTCTTCTTTGTTTTTGCTAATAGTTTGTGAGTTGTTTTAAGTTGGCAGGAGAAAATTAGTGATTTGGTGCAAGATTCAACCATGATGATTCATCCTTGTTTGCCCAAACAAAGAAATTGGAAAATTTGTGGATGTTGGGCAGCAAAGAGAACATATTCCCAAATGCCCAAACGGTTAATGGAGTTAATCTACGCGTGAAGAATGCTGCAACATATTTCCCGTGTGCCCACGCAAAAATGGAATCCAAATTTTTTGGGCAGCAACGAGAATTCCAATGATACATCTAATACCAAAGATGCCATGGTCCTCATTCATCAGCTCCAAGAACAACTTGTGACCATTGGTGCACATGTGGACAAGTTAGAAGAGGAAAACCGCCAACTTAAGCTTAGTTATGTAGAGCTGATCCATGGAAATCTACATCTGGTGCCTCCTGGTTCCAATTCTAATACTTCCACGCAACCCACATCTCCTCTTCCATTTTTTTTATTTTTTATTAATTTTATTTTCTTGTTTCTTTTCCAGTCTATATTTTCCTTTATTTTATAAATAATGTGCATTTTCTTTCTTTGAATTTGCATATGTTTCATTCATTGAGGACAATGTATGTTTTAGGTGTGGGGAAAAGGATTTTGTGTTGTGTTTGTCTAAAAAAAAAAAAAAAAGAATTGTCAATAGTCTATGATGATTTCAATTTTGAGGGTTACATATGATTTTAAAAATACCTGTTCAGGATCACTCTTAAGCATGTTAGAAACTCATGACCACATCTTTATGCACAACATTCCACTTGACAATGTGTTTGCTTAGGGCTTAAACTTTTAAAATCTTGAATGCATTAATGTATTGTTGTGATCTTATACTGGAGTTCACTTGTCTGAAACCATGGGGGACTGTGAATACGAGAGTTAGACTAAGGCAACCCTATGCATTATGGCAGCCTCGAATCGAGCCCATAGTTGTTTGTATTAGCCTAAATACCGTGGGAAAAAGGGAAAGTTGATGGTTGAATATGAGGTTAAGTGCTTTATCTAATGAGGGAATATAGGCAGAGTGTCCAATGTAGGATTTAATCCCTTGAGAGGTGAGGTATGGCACCAAAGAGGGGAGTGTCTCGGGCTTGGTGAGTTTAATTAAATGCTTAGATTACCATAGTTGCTGAAAAGTGTGCTTGGTAAAGGCCTCAGTGGGAAAGATCCAGAAGGAAAGCCAATTTGGACAAATGGTGGAAAAGGTACGAGGGTGAAAGATGCGGCCAACGATGCTTGCAGAAAATGAGAGGAAGTCCTTAAATCTGAACCTCAGTAAGAATACCATAGTTGAAGGCAAGGAGGAAATAGGTATTGATCACAAAAATGTCCACTTGAAATTAATTGAATCTAATCTTAGATTGGACAGCAGGTTAAGCAACACTTTGTTTTGTGGTCTGTTTCACACACTCACGAGAGTGAGTTTCTGACTTGATCAAGGGGTACTGAACCGTGGTGTATATTATTTGTCCCTAATGAGACTAGAATCTGAGACAAGTTTTGACACTCTTTGTTGTTTTTGCATGTTAGAGACTGTAGGAAAAGATATTATCATGTTTACTTTGAGTTGTGTTTGCTTGAGGACAAGCAAAAATCTAAGTGTAGGGGATTTTGATAGATCTTGAAGTTTCATGTTATTTATGGGTATTTGTATAGCATTGTGGATTGATTGTGCACTTATGTTGTGTATTTTGATATTTTTGGTTCTTAGGATTGATGGAGCCAAGATGGAGAAAAATGTTACATAAACACGCATTTTTAGAGCATTTTGATAAGGAAACACAAGAAGGGAGCAATGACATCACATTCTCGTGTGGGCACACAAATCTTAGTCCAAAATTGAGCTTCATAGAAGAAATTTCAGCATTGATGCTGCATTTCCGTTTGGCCAAACCGAAATAGGGACTAAAATAAAAAATTTAAAAAGTTTTAGGGTCAAAATATAATTTTTCCATACTTGAGAGACCAATTTGCAAATCTCGGAAAAGTTAATTTGCAGCTGCGGATTTCTTAAGGGCTGCTGCGGCTGACCTATTTTCTGATTATAAATAGACTTTGCTTTTCATTTTGAAAGAGTAGTAGGTAGTACAATAAAAATAGACGTAGTTTTCCACTTTTAAGAAACTTTCAAAGGAACTTTCTTCATTTTTGGAGTCTTCCAAGTTCATAGACATCAATCGGTAACATTGTTCAATGAATTTTTCTTGTGATTCAGTTTCCATGATGAGTAGCTAAATTTATTCGTCTGGTTGAAGGGTATTGAAGCCTTGGTTTGAATAGTTGTGAGATCTAAATGTTGTTTCTCTCTCAATTTCTTGTGAGTATTTGCTTGTTCTATTGCATGATTGATATGATTATTGTGGATTCATGAATAGCTGGTAGCATTCGGTGCCTTTTAATAATCTAAAACCAGTAAGACAACAAGGTTTGTTGTTTAAATAGGGTATAATATAATTTAATTACTTGGTAAGTAATTATTTATGTTATAAGAACAAGTAATCCGGTTTAATATAAAACAAGGTTTGTTTTATAGGAATTGGCATTGGGTCTATGTGTTTAATGCAGTAGTTTTCTAAATCTTAGGAGGTTCCAAGATTTGTTTTCGACTAGTATATGATTAATGAAAGTTTCTTAATCATTGAACTAAATGAATGATTGAATTGTTTGGAGGTTCCAACAATGAAAATTAATCTACTCATAAGTTAATGATATTATCATTGTATCTATGATCAACTATTTAAATCAAGGGTGGATATACAAACCCTTCAGCTAAATATTTTCTCATTATTTGTTTGCATCATTTTAGCTATTGTTTGCAATTTGTTTTGTTCTCAATTTATTTCAACAACTCAAGACCCCCCCTATTTCTTACTTGATTTAAAAGAGAGAAATTCACTATTCCCTGAGGAGACAACCTTACTTTCTTGTACTACATTAGTTTGGAAATAGGTTAAATTGTTTGTTGGCTTGACACCCTCTAATAATATGAGCCCTTGCAGTCCAAACCGTACCGTTCTCTTCAGCCTTCCACCGTCATAAAAAATTTGGAAACATCTTGTGAAGAAACCGAAGAGATTTTAGAGTCCTCAGCCATCTTTCCTTTGGATCAGCTGAGATTTTCAGATGATAATTTCTCAAGATCAGTAATGAAACTGAAAAGGGTCCTAGAATAGTAGAGATTTCTGCCCAAAAACTGGTTCGGAAATTTGCAGAAGATGAAACTTGATAAACTTTTAAACTGGTGGAGGATGGCTTGCTTGCTTGCATCTTTGCTTTTTATTTGTCGATTAGAAATTGGGGTGTATATTTATGGAGCTGATTGCTGCCGACTAAAGGCTTTTCCAATTACCAAACTGATTTTAGCACTTTGAGTTTCCTAATAATAATTATATCAATGTTTCAGCCAACCTCAAAATTCCGTTTCCCGAAATTAAGTAATTGATTTCCTTAGTCTTCAAAAAACTTATTCTCTCTGTATTAGGAGATTTGATTGATCAAGTAAAAAAGCATAGATGCAGGCCATATATTTATAGGAGACAAGAAGGTCAAAACCCAATTGGATTTGAAGGAAAAATTAAAGTGAACATGCGTATAATCCTATACCTAAAAATAAAATGAAGTCTCAACTCTCACCGCCATCTGATGTCCCATAAATGAAATGATTCAGTTTCACAGAATATTTGTATTTCTCCAGGCAGTTAGTTAAATTCTTCGATTTCCAGTCTCGTTTAAAAACACACTGATTTACTGGAAAAGTTTGGTTAAGACTACATTTATTTGTTTAACTCTTCATCTCTTCCGTTTCAAAAAAATAAATAAATACATAAAAAAAGAAAAATTCATCTTAGCTAGAAAGTCGACAAGTTTTTCAAAAATTGAAAGGTCAACAAGAACCTCAACGACTTGTCGCGTCGAAGTTTTAGGAAAATTGCACATCCACTGTACATTGTTTTTCCATCCACATCGACATGGAACCAAAATTTGTTCTATTATCCTTCCTATTTTTTTCCCTACTCTGAAGTGAGCTTTAATTTGATACCATGTAAAATCCGTCAAGCTGAAAATATGGAAGCTTCAAACTTATTGGGGGAGGTTGGGGGATGGGGAAGAGAAGGAAATTGGAGAACTAATTATGAAGTCTTAAAATTGTTTCAAACACATGCATGCGCGCAGGAAGGAAGAAAAAAACAAGAAGAAGAAACATCCAACTACAAATAAGTTTTCTTGTCAAACAAGACTGAGTTTGAATCATAAAATAATTTAAGAAGAAGAATTTAACAGCAGAACTGCGCGCAGGGCAATACACCACTATATTAGTCCTTGTTGCCGTGCTCGACGTCTTGATGATCCTCCTCCCCATTATCCTCTGCTACCACAGCACTCTGGGAGCTGCTGGAAGAAGGCCCTGCTCCAACATTACCGATGGAAGAAGAAGGATGATTATTCATCTCGATGCTGCCGCTGCTGAGAAACCCGGCCGGAGGAGGAGGAGGAGGAGGAGGAGGAGTGAAGAATCCAGCAGGGGCAGCAGGGTTGTGGTGCGGAAGAAAATGCATCACGGGTGGGGGTGGTCCTCCTGCAGGGGGGGCAAGGCCAATGCCTGAGGCGGGCGGATGATGCTCAACGCCACCAGCAGCAGCGACGGCAGCAGATCGTTTCCCTAGTAGGGCATCAGATGATGAGCCGGCCCCGGCCCTATAGTGATACTGATGATCACCAAGGGCAGCAGCAGCATCAAACTCCCTGTGGCATTGGAGGTAGAGGTTCAGGGGCTCAATGTAGTCATCGAAGCCCAGCTTACTCATCGCCCACAGCACATCCTCCGCGGTGATGGTCTTCCTATGCTCCCGCTGGCACCGGTCATTGGCTTCGCCTGTCACGAAGTTGATGAACTCTGACACGCATTCCTGAACGGTGTCCTTGGCATCATCCGATATCTTCGCGTGTCCCGGCAGTATCTTCCTCATGATCCTTACCACGTTCGCTATCGGCAAGAACCTGTCTTGCTCCCTCACCGTGCATTCCCCGCCATCGGCTGCCCCTCCACCGCCAACAGCAGCATTACTACCACCACCATTACCATAATTAGCTGCTGCATAGTTGTTGATGAGGTTCAGCTGGTTGCTGTTAGGTGCAGCTGGTGGTTGAACTTGGAGAGGCAGTCCATTTCCATGGTTCATTCCTACACACGCACGTATCCATCATCATCATCATCATCATCATCATCATCATCATCATCATAATATACATAATAACACTTATAGATTATTAAAATTCATCAATATACATATGACAAAGTTTCCCCTAAACAACTGCTAGTGAACTTTTGCTGATTCAGTGATAAAATTATTTTAATCCTCTTGTTACGACATCTTTCATAAACTCTTGATTTTGTATCCGAACTACAGACTGAAATCAAATTGAATAAGTATTCAGCTTGTTTTCATTCATTGGTCAGAGCGGTATGCTCAATCCGAGTTTGGTACTTGAAATAAAAATCAATAGTAGCCATAAATATTGGTTTTGTGTAACTAAAACAAAACGAGAAATTGGAACATGAATTATATTACTTCATATGCATTTCAAATAATTAGGACTGGGAGAAAGCGGTATATATCAAGAATTTTATGTAATCTTTCTGGGCCAAAATAAAAAGAAAAATGGTTTTTGTTTTTGAGGTAGAAAGGAAGGGGAAAGGGATTGCATTTTGACTTGATGATGAAATCAATTTGTAACTGCAATTGCTGCAGAAGTTAGGGGGATATCTGTAGGCTGTAATCCTAAGTGTCTAATGTATACTTGGATAACCAAGGAATCACAGTGATGAAAAATCATATGACAAAAGAGTATTCTCTCAAGGGAAACTGAAGCTTAAAGTCAGATTCTCCGCTTTTTATCAAGTTCTGAAAATTTCAGCAAAACAGTGGTACACAGGCCATATTCATAACACATCAAAACCATCTTCAACTAGGATAAACAAGGTAGGATTTATCCAAAGAATCGAGAAACCTAACAGTTTAAACATCAGGAGAAAAACGATCTCCAAAACAGCACCTCAGAAGAAAAATCCATAATTTCACGACAGGTTGGTCATGTTCAAATCAATGTTACGGAAAAACCATGACTCCATTTTATGATAAGTGAAAAATGAGGTAAACTCCATCGAGTATAAAAGATATTCATTAAATTAAATCACAGAAGAGGGTTCAAGATATAGAAGAAACGAGTCTCTCAACAAAGGGATATGAAACTGGATTCTCTGCAGAACGCCTAAAGTATATTCATTCTGTTTCAAAACAAGTTTTTGGAAAGGTACAACACACCATTTACCAAACTACAACAGCAAATAAAAAAATCTTTAATGCAAAAAAGAATGAGTAAAAATTCGCTCAATACAAAAGAGAAAATGAGAGAACCCAAGTTTTCAAAAAATGGAAAATCCAACTTTAGGATATAATCTTTACTCCTTTAGCCTTTTCATTCGGGAAACCCACCAAAATTCAGTTATCAAATCCCTTTCAGGTGAATCCAAATCTCTCATTTTGTTTTTAGTTTAGATCTCAAGATTAAGCTAAATCTTCCTATCACCTTATAGTGATATCTTATACTGCTGTGTATTAAGCGAACTCTAAATTTCTCTCTTTAAAAGTTAGGTCACTCTATATATTAATAAGTTTAAATAAAATATTATTTTCACTATGTATGTTTAAGTAGAGACGTCCCAAAAAAAAGAGTATAGTAGGGGTATGTGATTCAGTGATTGCTAAAAACAAGCAATTGATTCAGTTGTGGGTTGTGAATAAGTATATGACCATGCACATCAACAAATGCAATGCATCGGCTGAAATGATCTCAAATTCATATTTTCTACTACTTTTCATCCACCTGAGAATTTTTTAACCAAAGTTGGAATAATATATGAATATATATACATATAGCTTACTAACTAAATCATTTCTAAAATTGTACACAGTAGTAGAAAGCATCATCTATTTTTTAAGAAATAAATTAAAGGGATAGATAAATAATGAATTTTTCGTTTAATAAGTACTCTCAATATATAAAACTATTAGGAAATCAATAATTACTAGCCGCTCCAAATCTCTGCCTATATTTTAAAAATCCGATCAGAAGGCGAACTGATAAACTAACTGGGTAACTTGTTTACAGGTTCGATTGATTTCGAATCAGTCTCCAAAACCAATAAAATTGGCTATCAAGAATATTAAAAATGAACTATTTTTAAAAAATCAAAGAAATGGTTCAACCGATACTAGATCCCGGTCAAACTGCGATTTTATTCGTTAACTAGTTTTTAAGTCAAAGATCTCTGCAAATAAATTATATATAAGAAAAATACCTATCGATATATCCATCTACTGTATTTGACACTTAATTACACATGCAAGCAGTCAAAACACACTAAAAAGGGGAACTTCTGCAACAAATAAAAATTAACCTTCCTCACAACTACACAACCGAAATTGGGGCTGCAAGTTTGATAATTAAGATTTATGAACAACAATTATTCTCTTTTACCGGAGTTCGAGTTGGAGATATTCCAGCGATACCCAGTGAAACCACTCGCACCACTTCCATTTCTATTCACTCCTGCTCCTCTAGCCATTGATTCTATACCTTCTTTATTGATTGTGTTGCCGTTTATTAGCTTCCTAAACACACACAAACACACACAAGAAAAACTGATTTTGCGGTTTCTTCACTTGCTACTATGTATGCCGAGAGACAACAAGGGAACGTGAATAAATAGGCGCAAAATAGAAAACCGTAAAATAAAAAAGAAAGAAACTGTCGCCAAATGGAGTGGCACAGTGACAAGTGGTAGTATGGCAATTTATCTATTATTATTTCCACGAAGAAAATGAATGTAGATTTCACGTGACAGTCCGGCGTGGATAACGAGGGGTTTGTATTGCCCGTACTACGCTCCACCTTCCTTACCTATTCTCTTACTCTCCCATTGCCATTTCTGATTTCTTCAATTTCGTCGTCTCTCTTAAATAGATACTTTGTTTAGAAAGCTATGAAACTCATTTCAAACGATAATATATATAGGTCCCCATCCTTAAATAACACCAGTTTACATTGATAAAATAATAACCTTTGAATTTTACTCAATGTCTATTTCTATCATTTACTTGTTATCTTAATTTCATATAGAAACACACTCATGATTACACTATTCATTGTTTATCATTAAACACTGTACGAATTATTATCAAGTAGGTCTAGGCTAGAAATTGTGTTTCATCAATAAATAAATTCTAAACTGAAATAGTATTACCATTTTCTTTAATATAATTTCGTTTTATTTAATTTTTTTGGTCAAGTCTATTTAATTTTAAATAAGTACACAACGTAATTTCTTTAGAGTGTTATAAGAAGTCAATTTATATCTTGTAATTTTTTTTTAACGTAAGAAGAAAAGAACTAAAAATCTTTCAAGTATATATCTATTTCTCTCAATTTTGGAGTTCTAGTAACGAGTAGAATAAAAATATATGATTACACTACACAATTAATTAATTCCATCTTAACATCTCTGTTTTTTATTCTCTTTGTTTTTTTTTAATAGAGACATCTCTGTTTATTATTCCGCATCTCTTCTCGCAGAAGGTTCTCTCATAAGGATGAATACATATAAATATATATATATATGTTGTTTTTCTTGTTTCCCTTTTTGTTTTTTTTTCTTTTGCTATTTATGTTACAAATAAAATTCAAAGCATAAACGATGTAAAACTAACTATGCTAAGAGGAAGAGGAAAAAGAAACAAAACAATTCCACTTCTCTCTGTGACAGAGTAATTTACGATTTGCTATCGAGAATCATGTCTCTTGACAACGAGGAAGTGATTAATCACATTAGAGCACACATTAGACATCTTGCAGCAAGGAGAGGAAGAAGGAGGGTGACATGGCAGACATTGCCCAATTACCACATTAGACATTTCAATGGAGATCACCCTTTCCGAGAGAGATATAAGACCATTCCACTCACTTGTTCTTCAATCGTGATTTGATGCTCGCACATTTATGCCCCACTATGCAGGCTGTGAAAAGGAAGAAGAAGAAGATGTAAGTACTGATTCAGAAACTGAAAGTACAAGAAGATTTTTAGAACAAGAGGATATTGCGGTTGCTATTGATGGCCACATTTAGCAAGTCATTGATGTTCTTACGAATCCAGTATCTACATTGACTACTGTGGCAGTTGTGGGGATGGGTGGCATTGGTAAAGCAACCCTTGCAAAAAAAGTTTTCCAACTATGTTGTAAGTTCCTCCTATTTGATCGCGTCGCTTGGGTCAATTATACATCTAATAACCAATCACCTCTCACTACTAGAAAAAGGTACTAAAAAGGCACTTCATAGTGTCATTATAAATAACTTATTAGGGCATTAAACTTTTAAAGGCATTGATCTAAAGTGTGGTACATACCAATGTCACAATAGTTCCAATGATTCATAAAGACACTATTAAGTGCCATGATCTCAAATTATATTTTTTTTATGATCTAATAACTGTTTTATTATGAAGTGTCGTGAAAACTTTTTAACATTTTAGTTTTTATAATAATAAAAATGTAGTTCTCAACTACATTGAAAATAGAACACCACTAAAAATTGAAATAAGAACTGATGGTCATTTAAAAGTGAAGAACGACTCTCTCTTCGTTTCTCTGTCTTCTTTGTTCCTCTCGGCGCACGCCTCTAACGTGCGACAGCCATCGTTTGCAGAAAACGGAAGGAGAAGCAGACGAATACGGCAAAAGTAACTAAAACGCAGCCGGAAGATGAAGTTGCACCATCAAATTACTTGAATCTTGGTGATAGATCAAAGGTGAAAGACTCTTCTAGGAAAGCCCTCATGCGTCAAGAAGAAGAATTGAATCAATGAGTTGCAGAAATCAAAGGACAATCTGCAAAGTCTGTGATTAAGGAGCGACACCAGCAAACGCATCAGGCTGAAACCAAAGATGCTACTCAGAAGGGGATCAATCGATTAAGTGATGGATGTCAGTCGGGGAAATTGAGGGATATGCTGGAACCTTGGGTTCTTCAACAAAACCCTCGCTGTCAGCTATCCTGGTCAGATAAGGTTGAAAAGGAAGAATATCAACAATCCTCGAACAAATTGGATGCAGACAAATGGAAACGGCCAACTGGGAAACTTCAATTTGTTCCACCCATACAGGTTGCTGGCCAATCGATGTATGGTATCAAACGTGAGGATGTGCAAGTTGAGGCCGATTTTTGGGAATCTTCTATGGTATGTTTTGTTCTGGGTGCAAACCCCCCAACCTGGGTCATGGTAGCACATTTTCGCAAGATATGGGGCCGTTTTCGCATTGATAAGGTAATTCGTCTTCCCAGTGGTCTTTTTGTTGTTAGATTCACTACTTTGCATGCTAGAGAGGAAGTACTTAGTGTGAATTTCTATCATTTTGGATCTAAACCACTTATAGTAAAACCTTGGAATGTTGAAAAAGGTTTAAACTATAGAGAGGTCGATAGGGTTCCTGTTTGGGTGCAGTTACATGGTCTGGAATTAAAGTATTGGGGATTACCAACTCTAAATGGACTGCTAAGTAACGTAGGAAGCCGTATTGTAGCCGATGAATGTACTGTTGCTAGGGACAGAGTCCAATATGCTCGAGTTCTTGTTGATATGGAGATGACTGAATCTGTCCCTGACAAAATAGTATTTGAGGATGAAAATGGTATAGTTAAGGTTCAAAAGGTCACTTATGAATGGTTACGAACCAAATGCTCTTGTTGTTTGGGATATGGACATTTAACAGAAGTATGTAGGAAAAAGGTCAAGACACCTGAACCTCCATCTAAGAAGGTTCATACTGATTGGAGAAAGGTAATAAAGAAGACTCCGGTTGAAGGCCTGGGGGCAAGCATTAGCAATCAATGTTACTGAAGAGAGCTCAGCTGTGAATGCCCCTAGTGGGGAATCGAAAAATGAGCTTAAATCGCAAGATTGCCAAATGTGCCAAGGACAAGATAGTGTAAAGATTCTGCAAAAAAAGGTTGGGGTAGAGGAGTCATGTGAGGATACAGCAAGCACATGACTGTCTATTCTAAAGGCTCAAGTTGAGAAGGAAGGTGAAATTGTACGTCAATCTGATAATGTGAAAGATACATATAGTCAAGCTGGTTTTCAACAGAGCAAGTTGCTTGATCCTTGACCATCCTATCATGTGTAGCATCATGACATGGAATGTAAGGGGTCTGAACTCCCCCCCTTAAGCAAAGGGAGTTGCAATGATTGATCAATATCAACAAATATAATATAGTCTGTGTAGTAGAGACTAAAATGGTGAAGGAAAGGGGTGAAAAGTATTTGGAACAGAGTTGGGGTAACTGGAAGTGGCACACCAACTATGCTAGTCAATGCAAAGGCAGAATACTACTATGGTGGGATGATAGCTTGGAAATTTAATTATCTTGGTAAATGGCACAACCGCTGCATTGCTCGGTAAAATTGAAAAAGGATAATACCAGCTTGACCATATGTATCTTTCACACCAACAGGAAGTGGCACACCAACCGTTTTCTTTTACTGGAATTTACGCCGAAAATGATTCTGAAGAAAGGAAGAGACTATGGTCAGATTTGATATGTATCTCAAAGACTGTTGATGTGCCCTGGTTGATCATGGGAGATTTCAATTATGTTTTACGTACCAAAGAGAAATTAGGAGGCAAACCAGTAACTGTACAAGAACTTGAAGATTTTCAATTATGTGTAGAAGAGTCTGGGTTATAGACCTAAAAGAGACAAGAAAATTTTTTACATGGTGTAATCAAAGGCAGGGTGACGAAAGAATTTATTCGAAACTAGACAGGGCTCTAGTAAATGAAGATTGGGTTGATAAGTTTCCTGAATCAAAGGTTTCAGTAATGATGGAAGGCTTGTCAGACATAGCCATTTGGTGGTGCAGGTGTATGCTGAAACTCAACGAAAATCACCTCCGTTTCGATACTTCAATATGTGGAGCATCTCTCCCCAGTTCCAAACTATTGTGAAGCGCAGTTGGGAGCAACCTGTCGAAGACACGAAAATGTTCCAAGTTTGTATGAAGCTGAGAAGACTAAAGCCAGAATTGAAAGCATTAAACAGAAATCAGTTTGCTGACATTGTTGAAAAAGAGAAGATGGAACAGATTAAATTACAGACGCTGCAAGAAAGTATTGCTCTAGACCCTGGTAATGTGAACCTCCAGCAGCAGGAGAAAGAGCTGAGACAGTGTTATGTTCAGACGAGTAAAGCTGCCCTTAGTTTTGTTCAACCAAAATCAAAAGAAAACTGGATCACAGAGGGGGATGAAAACACGAGATATTTCCACTCGAAGGCTTAAGATCAGGAATATGCGTAATAGATTTTGGATGGTCAAGTTTTATCAGCAACTGTTGGGTCAATCATCAAAGAGAGAAGTTTCATGCCCTGACATCTTTGCAGCTGGTCCCACACTTTCAGTGGAGCAACAGCTTAAACTTATCAGGCCAGTTGGGAACAAGGAAATGAAGGAAGCGCTCTGGGAGATGAATGTCAACAAAAGCCTTGGCCCTGATGGCTTTGGGGTAGGGTTTTTTAAATCAGCATGGAGCACCGTGGGGCAAGACATCACTGAAGATATCAAGGAGTTTTTCGCCACAGGTCAGGTACTCAAATAACTTAATACCACA